CTGTAGCTGCTCCCTGCAGACAGAGAGCAGCCATGGTGATTCAACCAGAGTATTGCCACTTTTCTCCATATTAATCTGGGCACATTTTCAGATTTTCAGATGTAATCCCAATATTCAAATAAAACTAAATTTGTATTTAACATCTCAAACACAAACTCTCTGAGTCAGTCACTGAAATAAATCGTAAACCATCCAACAATAACTACACTCAAATTATAATCATTCCACAATATGACAAAAAGCTGTACTGTGAAATGTAAATGTGATTTGCAGCTTCAGCGTGATTATATTGTCTGTATTATTTGTTTGTGCTTCTCAGTTGTTCTTTAGTCACCAGCCTTGACTGTATTACATTACATTACATACCCCGTTGGTTAGGTTATCCTAACTCTAAAGAAAACCTACATTAACTTCAACAAGAGCAACTATTGATAATTACTGTCTGTTGCCATCAAAGGTTATTGAGCAATCCCTTTAATAAGTTATGCTTCCAAATTAAGTTCAGGGTTTGGGGGAGAAATCAGCTTCGACCTAATCCCAGACACATACCTAAAGCTCAATTTCTCTCACTGTTTTCTGTTTTACAATTAAAGCAAGACTTCTCCTAGGCTTCTTATTGCCTTTATTTGATGGGAATAGCTGAAGAGTGACAGGGAAGTGTTGTTGTTTTACTGCAACGTAACCCTTTGTCTCAAATTCAGCAACTGATACTACTCATGTTTTATATCAAATACTGATATTTGTATTGTTTTATATACAGCTAATTCCCATTGATAGGCAAAAGAAAAAACTCTACTCGGCCTCTTAAAATCCAGTGTAGAAACCTGCATGCATCTTTATTAGTATATCTTTTAAGTCTTTTTATTTATTAACAACAGCTGCTTGCTGCAGCTGGAGTTGAATAATGCAGTGAGACTGAACCCAAAGAGTGAAGCTTCGGGCTGTAAAACAAAACAAATCTGAAAGACGCTAAAATGCTCTAGAGCTTAGAAGAACTGCAGAGTTGGGAGGTAATTCTCTGTGGGTTTGTCACTACAAGCGCCCATTTAACGTAATTACTTGACCCATTGTTAATGTAAAAATATTGATTACTGCAGCTTTAAAGCACAGACATGAGATTGATTTCGATCTTTGACAGAAAGCAAATAAACACATTTCCCAAATCCATCATATATGAGGTGGCCAACTCTGAATAGTGTGACGCCAAAGTTCGTGTCTCTCCATGCCTCCCCCCTCCCGAGACAAAAGGTTAAACAGTAATAACGACTCAATTCCTCCGTGCTATCTGCTCATATTGGAGGTACAGGCCAGCCTGCGTCAAAGACAATAGTGATGATAGTGAGGCTCTCTGGCAGGTCCACTGTGACCCACTGTCTGCTTCATAATAGCATCATCAGCCTGTTTGGCTATGAAGGGGGCATACAGAGACTACATCTCTTAGACAGCTTTTATTATAGAAACTATTCTTGTCTTTGGCGTATGTGTGGACTCAAGAGACGGAGAGACAATAAAACCTCACATTGTTTCCCTTTTTGGGCCCATGAAATCATGTTACAGCTTAATTTCCTCATCATATAGTCTCTCAAGTGCTTGGCAACATCTTCTCGTGTCTTTATAGGAACTAACAGGAAGTGCAATTAAAGGTAAGGCTCTTAACTCCCCCAGTATTTCTGCACTCCACTTCTGGTTGCCAAAGGAAACCCGCACTCTTCAGCTGAGGAGTAGGAGGGCGCAAACAAAAGCGGCAGGCTGAAACGTGCCTTCTCCCTCATTGTCTCTTGCTCTCACCAACCACCTCTCCAAGCCCACTTTCACGCCGAAAAGACCAAAGACACTGAAGCACCACTTGGTACCAGAAAGGTTCAGAGCAGAGAGAAATGGAACAGGTGCACCCTCTCTGAACGGGTCAGGCACACGTTACGTAAAGGTGACGTACCTCTTTCATGTAAAATGTATGAACTTCAGACGGAAGGCCAATGCCCCACTTAAATGTCAAAATTTAAACATCAAATGTCATACCTTAAACAATACTTTTACAATTTCCCAAAGTTCTGGATCCATTTTCTCCAAGTTCACTGATAGCAAGTGACATTCAGAGAGGCACACTTTTTTTGAAGAATAACTGTTGGCTCAGACAGTGGCAGAATGGTAATCAGGAGGATTCCAGTGGACTTCTGCCAGCCATTTTGCAGCCTGAAGTGACAGACCTGTCCACTCACACACTTGCACTCTTTACAGTCAAAAACACACACTGGTTGCATTCCAAATAAATGAAACGTCCCCTCCCCAGATGGATTCAGCCGAATAGAAGGTATCCTGAATTCAGACTGAACCGTAGGCAACATGGAAAATGAAACAAAGAGTAAAAAGGTGGTGCTGAGAGAGTACATTTAAAAGGAATAGTGGAGCAGGAAGATGTGCACTAAAATAACATTTTTCAACAAGGTTGTCAAAGTGCTAAAATAATGAACATAATTTAGTTGTTACATTTTAATCCAGGTAAAAGCTTTTTAAATGTAGCTGTCAAGCTTAGCTGTTACACAGTATCAAATAATATGATTCGCTGTAATGACTGAATAGCTGTGAAAAAAAACTTGATTAGGATTTTATGATCAAAGCGGGCAGTACACTGAGTAACAGAAGTGGAGGTACAGTTTGTTAGTGCAGCAGTGAAAAAATATAAACAGGCTGGTTTTTGGCTTTTATAAACCACTGTCAATTTTGCAAGCTTTAGATTTATTTACATTAGCTGAAAGGCAGATTTTACATTGACAGAACCGGACTAGCTGTTTCCCTGTTTATGCCAGGCTAAATTAACCGTCTACTAGCTCACTAGTTCCCAACCTGGGGATCTCGACTGCCACTAGGGGTCGCCAAAGATTCACAGAGAGGTTGCGAAACCTTGATTTCAAGCTGTGTAAGAAAACTATGTACACAGTCGGTCAGCATTTCATTCTTTTCTGTAAAGAAAACTACATGGAATTGTTATCTTAAAGTTTAGATCAAGATTAAGTCCTAAACACAAGCTATATTCACAGCCTTCAGTCTCTGCTGAACAGCATCATCCTGCATTAAAAAGGATGCAAACAACCAGAGATCTAATGGAACAATGGTGAAGTGTCAAGGTGAAGGAAACACTGAATTTGTCAAAGAAAAAGCCCACTAAGTATGAATGATTGTTAAAGAATTAAAAAAAAAAACATAATACAGAGAATACAAGAGTATTGTAAAACAAAAAAAAAAAAGGTTCCTTAAAATATAAAAAAACTCATCTCGGATGCAGTATTCACAGGAAATAACCTGCTTAAAATTCATCCAAATAGCTCATTTTACACAAATCGTGTTGTGTTCACTATTTGGGTTCATTGCACAGCTTCAATATAATCATATGAATCATCAAAATATGTCACTTAGTCAGCGGTTGTCAGTTTACTCAATGATGGAAAAGGGGTACCTTGAGGAAAGAGGTTGGGAACCACTGTCCTAGCTGAAGCTTCAAAGACAGTTATGAGATGCAAAATCCTTATTTACCAACTTCCCCCACCTCCCACCCAAGCAGCCATGGGGTGAACTTTTACTATTTAATCCCTTGCAAAGGTCTTTGATCTCAAAGGTTTACAGTT